CAGCCCTTTTCTGAATCCTGAAAAGTTGAAAAACACCAATTTAGTTTAAAAGAAGATGCAGACTAAATGTGTGGTGGAGGAGTCTGAGAGGGAAACCTACCTTGCAAAACATACATTGTGGCATTTGAAAAGGCATGTTATCTAAAACGAAAAATCTATTTGGGATTTACCCTTTTTCTGCCATCTTATGGGACAAAATGGCAGTAGAGAACTTAGCAAAGAAATGTAACCACAGCAACTTTACTTAAAGCACTAGAATATCATGTATCTTTGAAAACAGCAAAAATCCCAAGGTGTCCCTTCCTAGGATCTGTTCCCACCCCTTGTGTCCTTCTAGGGTTGATGGACAAGGCTCTTTGGGTAAATCTGATATCTTTTATAAGACTGACTCAAATAGTTGGAAAATTTTTCTTTGCAAGATTTCAGGCACAAATACCCTTCATCAGGCTGAGGAAGCATCTGTAGTTGGTTTGGTTGGTAGCATTACAGGCTGGATAGAGACCCTCCTGCCATTTTGTTTTTTGCCTGCAGGTCCTCCTTTTGTTTGGCACTGGTTGCCTCCTCCGAATAATGAGCAGTGTACTCAACCTCTACCCCGCTAATATACACCACAAGTCACACAGTACCTCTTTATCTGGTCCGAAAGGAAAAGGAAAATGCACACTTGAAAACTTGATGTAACAGAGTGGGGTACATCCATACCAAATTATGAATTCAATAACATTTTGTGCTGCTTGTATCACCTGTGAGCCTATATATTGGATAAAACATAGTTCAGGGTGGTCGAACTGTATGTAGGACCCATTCAGAGCTGACAGCCTTGGGTCATAATCCTGATAGCTCTTGGTGATCATCATAGAATGATGTAGCTCTACCCCTGCACAAAGCAGGATTATCTAAACCATCCTAGACAAGTGTTTATCTAACCTCTTCTTAAAAATTTCCAGAGATAAAGATTCTTCATAGGGTAGTCTGTTCCAATGCTTAGCCACTTTCATAGTGAGAAAGTTCTTTGTTAATGTCCAACCCATTGTTTCTTGTCTTCTCTCCAGAAGTCACAGATATTTATCATCATCCTCTTTATAGCCATGCTTCATGTATTTGAGGAATTTTATCATATCATATCTTAGCTTTCTCTTCTCCTAGATCTTCCAACCTTTCCTTGTCAAACACATTTCCCAGACCTCTCACCATTTCCGTTGTTCTCTGCTAGACTTTTTCTAATCTGTCTTGATGTGAGTGTTCTAAAACTGGCTACAGTACTCTGGGTCAGGCCTCACTAGTGCCAAACGGAGAGGAAAGATCACTTTCTTGACTTGCAAGTGGCGCTCCTGGTAATACAACCCAGTACACTGTTGGCCTCTTTTGCAACGAGGGCTCTGTGTTGGCTTATATTCAGCTTTTGATCCACTCTAATCTGCAGATCCTAACTAGTCATAGAATCATAGAAGTAGGGTCGGAAGGGACCTTGTAGACCTTCAGGTCCGACCCCCTGCCTGGGCAGGAAGAAAACTGGGCTCAAATGACCCCAGCCAGGTAGGCATCAAGCCGCTTCTTAAAGACCCTCAGGGTTTATAGATGGTCACCAGGTCCCCCCTCAGCCTTCTCTTGTGAAGGCTGAACAGGTTCAGGTCCCGTAGCCTCTCATTCTAGGGTCTGCTCTGCTGTCCCCGGATCATGCGGGTGGCCCTCCTCTGGATGCTCTCAATGTTGTCCACATCCCTCTTGAAGTGGGGTGCCCAGAACTGGACACAGTACTCCAGCTGTGGTCTGACCAGTGTCGCGTAGAGGGGGAGGATCACCTCCTTGGCCCTACTTGAGATGCACCTGTGGATACACGATAAGGTCCGGTTAGCCCTACCGACCGTGACCTCGCATTGTCGGCCCATGTTCATCTTGGGATCAATGATGACTCCAAGATCCCTTTCTGCCTCCATGCTCTCAAGAAGGGAGTTTCCCATCTTATAAGTGTGCTGCTGGTTTCTACTGCCCAAGTGCAGCACCCTGCACTTGTCAGTATTGAAACGCATCCTGTTTTTGTTAGCCCACCCCTGCAACCTATTCAGGTCTTTTTGCAGTCTTTCCCTCCCTGCTGACATGCCCACCTCAACCCAAATTTTGGTATCATCAGCAAATTTGAACAGGTTGCTTTTCACCCCGTCGTCCAAATCGCTGATAAAGAAATTGAACAGCACGGGCCCAAGGACCGAGCCCTGGGGGACTCCGCTGCCCACTTCCCCCCAGGTCGAATATGACCCGTCCACCACCACCCTCTGAGTACGACCCTTCAGCCAATTCACAATCCATCTGACCGTGTAGACATAGATGCCACAGTCGCCTAGTTTTTTAATGAGGATGGGGTCATTCGTCATCTTTCAAAAAGGGGTCAAGAACCATTTTGGGAAAGGTCACTGTCAGACACAGTGCAACAAAATGCCCTCAGACATGTCTTTGTGTGTATTCGGTGCACAGTGAATACACCACAAGTCACACAGTACATCCTTATAATTCATAATTTGGTACAGACGTACCCCACTCTGTCACATCAGGTTTTCAAGTGTGAACTTTCCTTTGCTTTTTGGACCAGATAAGTATGTACTATGTGACTTGTGGTATATATTTAGGAAATAAAATCTGCCCTTAAATCTGCAAACACTTCATATAAGGTAGCATTTGGTCTTAAGGCCCAGACTGTACTCTTTGTTGGTTTAGCTATCTTGACTAGGAATTTGAAAACTCATACCCTTAACTGAAATAGCTATTCTAGTAAAACTCCCTTCTGCAAGCATATCTATAGCAAAATAAAAATAACCAGTCTTTGCCCTCCATACCACCACCTTCCTTTGCCAGTCTGTCTTATTTTACTCAAGGAAGTGGTGTAAGATGTCCAAGCAAAAGACCACTTCTGCATCTCCCCAAACAGTATTTGTTGGTATGACACAATTGGCAAATTGTTGCTAACGTAGACAATCGGAGGTAGTTAGCCATGTTAGTCTGAATTCAGACAGAAGGCAGGGCAGGATTACACTTTAGGGTGTCTGTACACATGCTCTGGGGTGCAGTGGGGGGCATTTTAATTGGACCAGCTCTTGGGAGCCGCTCCAATTAAAATGCCCTCAGTGTCTTGTATATTCAGCATCCTCCATTTCAAAATGGCAGCAGGGGCGCTTTAACTAAAACTTGTTCCACAATCTTTAGTTAAAGCAGCCCTGCTGCCCTTTTGAAACGTAGGGACACTGAATACATGAGATGCTGCAGCACACTGGAGCATTCTGAATAGAAGGCTCCAATGCGTTTTAATCAGAAAGTGTCAGAGCACGTGTAAAAGTACCCTTAGAGACGTAGTGGTTAGAAAGGCATGAGCTTTTGTATTACTACTAGTGAGGATCCACACACTTGAAGGGTTGAGGACCCGTAACCTGGGACCTGCCCCCCACCCCCAGAGTCATAAGTTACCAGGAAAAGGGATTTCCCACAGGGGAGGGGGAAGTTACCCCAGCTGGTGAGGCTGGTTATTGTAGGGGAAGCCTATGCAGGGGAAGTCTCCCTGGGTCTGAACTTTCTGTTGGAGGTATCCCTTCCTGTGGGTCACAGTGGGATTGAAGAGCGCAGAGGATTTCCCCCTCCCACTGATTGCAGGAGTGTAGCCAGTGCCCCAGGATCAGCTTGGGCCCTGGGCAGGCTTAATGAGTTGCGTTAATCTAGTGCTGAGACGCCTTATATTTTGTGATATAGCACCATACATTTTGTGAGAGAACGCTTTATATTTTGTGTATTTCTATATTTGTAAGATGGTATAGAGTTTAGATATTTATTGGGGCTCTGTTGGGACCCTTCCCTTCTATTTATCTGTAATCTGTTTGTATTGTTAGGGTGATAGATGGTTATCTATCTATCTATCTATCTATCTATCTATCTATCTAAAGAACAAGATTTAGAGGCTAATAGCATATGTAAATATATGTACCAATGTTTATATAATGGTATATATTTATCTTTTAATGTAATAATAATCAATCTGTACATAGTTAAGTTTCATCAAGTCCTGGCCTTGCTCTTTTGGGAACAGAGGGAAACTGGTTCAGCCTGCAGTTTCCTCTCACAGAGCACTGGCCCTCCTAACTCTCCCTTCAATTAGAAAGGGGAGTACTTACCCAGGTATTACCTGGGCTACACTTAACATCTGATAAGGTAGACTCTTGCCTATGAAAGATCATGTAAAACTCTCTGAACCAGCAAAAATACAAATCAAATTGTCTCGTATTATTTCAAACATAAAAAAAGTGTGAAAGTTCATTGGTGTGGCTGTTTGGAAATCTGACACTCAGACCAAATATAATATGGGATTAAGAAGGACAGTGTGGGCCTTATTCATGCAAAACAAAACAAATCAAATCAAAACAAAACAAAACAAACCATGATGCAAACTGCTTTCTATTAATAAAAGCTGTTAAAAATTCCTTTCTTATACATCTGGGAAAGACCTTAGTTTTTAACTGCAGTCTGAAAAAGAAGAAATCTGTATTGCATGCGAAGAAGCAGCCAAATAGGTAAGTTTGGCTACATTCTACTTGCTTAAAAAAATAGTCATTTCTCCACTTGCCCAGAATAGTGTTCTCTGGCAAAAATTAGTCTGAATCAATTCTGTTTGAAGGAAAGATTTGTAATGATGTCATGCTGACCAATGGCATAATTCAGTGTCACTCAGATCAATGGGATTTGGTTTGAGCCCTACATGGATGAGGTCACAGGGTTCTGAAGTACACAAAAATGTGTGTAAAATCCTAGTTATTAGAGGACATGTTCACTAGAGCCACAGTTGAGCATTGCTTTTGGATCAGAAATTGGAAATGTTTCCAGGGCTTCTTTGGGAGGGGGTTTGCTGTTACTAGTTCAAAAATAAGTAAGAGTGAAATTTCATGTGAAGTCAAGCTTTGTTTGTTTTCATTCTGTCTGCCCAGTAACAATTTTTCTTTTTCTTTTGCTTCATGTTTTGACAGCAATTAAGGCCGCTATCCTTATTCAGAGATGGTATCGCTGTGCAATGGCCCGACTAGAAATGAGGCGACGATATGCTCTGAATATTTTTCAATCTATTGAATATGCTGAAGAGCAAGCGCAACTACAGGTTTGTGCTTTTGAGTTCTTTCTCCCTTCCTGTAGAAACACTCACTGGCAATGTTCCCTCTAAGGACTAGTGGTTCATGAGCACGCTGCTTTGGGCCATGAGCACGCTGCGTCTGTCCGTTTCTGAATTGGTCCCGCCTCCTCCTTTCGACACGGTCCGCCGGTAAGTGTCCCGCAGTAAGTGTCCAGGTGGGAGCGGGCGGGGTTCAGCCCCATGGAGAGCACTGTGGGCCCCACACATTACCCTTCTCCATGCTAGCTGCTGCCCAGAGCAGCCCAACAGGGGCAGGAGGAGTAGCTGCTGGAGGCAGGGGGAGCCAAGCAGTAGACCGAGAGACCTGGACAGCAGTAGACCCGTTGGGAAGCTGTGCATGCTGGCCGGGCCCAGTGGAAATGTGGCACAGGCTGCCCCTGGCAGGAGCGGGTGGGACTCAGCCCCATGTAGAGTGCTGTGGGGCAGCCATGGGCCAGACACAATCAATTGGCAGGCACCTGCTCTTACACTGGATCCAATCAGTTTGCGGGCCATAACTGGCCTATGGGCCATATTTTGTCCACCCCTGGGTAACTGGTTCGCTGCTAAACATGTCCCAAGAATTATTCATTATAAAGCATGATAGAACTGGAAGGGAGGCACCAGGGCCAGTGCGGGACACTTACTGGTGGTAAGTTCCTCATTCCTCATGCAGGCCACGCAGCAACTCCTCCCCGAGGTGAGGCGGGGATGGGGGCTGAGGCTAGGGATTGGCATGGGCTCCTCTGGTTCCAGGGAGCTGCTCCACTCTCCCACCCGTGCCTCGCCTTGGGGAGCGAGGAGGCACATAGCATTGGGGCTGGGGAGCGGAGCAGTTCCCTTGAGCGGATGGAGCCTGAGCCAGCCCCCAGCCCTAGGCCCCTTCCCCACCCTCAGGTCGCCTCAGGGAGGAGCTGCTGCTTGCCCCACGTGAGGAGTAAGGAGCTTACCACCACTAAGTGTCCTGTGTCGGCTCTGGTGTCTGTGCTGCACTCTGTGTTCAGCTCCTCTCTGCGAAGCTGCAGCCCAGCTCCTCTCTGGGCGGGTGCGTGGCATTAAAAGTAACTGTGTGGTAAGATTTTTAATTGTGCGCTGCTGCACATTTGTGCAGCTTAAAGGGAAACTTGCTCAGTGGGATGTAGCATTGAGACTTTCCAGAAGTAACTAAACATAATTTTTGTGCTTTGTTTGGAACCATGCATTTGCTTACCAGATTGATGTTTTGTCTGTTTAGTTTCCTGGTTTTCAGATTAAAAATAGGGACATGAGAATTGCCATCCAGATTGGATTTCTCCTAGACCAGTTTAGTGACCTATCTCTTACAGTGGCTGGTATCAGATGCATCAGAAGAAGATGCACAAATTCTGTAACTGATGATTGATTATCATATAACATGCCCACAGTAGAAATGTCTTTCCAAGAGCTGGCAGTTAAGTCTAATCTGCTTATTCAATGAGGAAGGAGGCTTTGTGCCTGAGGCACTGGACTGGAACTCAGGGAAACTGTATGTAGTTTGTTTCTCTGCCACAGACTTCCTGAGTGATCTTTGGCAAATCACTTAACCTCTTTGTGTTTTAGTTGTATGAAATGGCATGATACTACTCCCTGTTTCTCACAGTCCATTTTGTGTATTTAGTTTGCAAGTTTTTCAGACCGGTGTATGTCTCCTGCCATATTAATATAGCATTTATCCTAAGGGTCACTGACACTGGTTGGCACCTCCAAGCCTTACCATAATACAAATAAACAACTGTAACGATCAGCTGTTAGAAACGTGTCATAGTGTTCTCTGACCAAAAAATATAGGTTGGAAAATTCTTTGCTCCACATTTTTCAACATTAAACAAACACCTGTTAAAATAGTTTTACTTTTCATTTAGCATTTTCAGCATTTTCTTGTGTGCATTTTCTTTAAACAAACTCTTACAAAATATTTAAAATGATGTAAATCAGCTTCCTTCCACATGTAGTGTTACATTTCAAGTGTGGATGCTTTGGATTTTACCTGGTCTAATGCTTCCTAGAAATCCATTTTATTCTGTCTTTTTCTGTTTTGAAAACAAAGAGCATCAACCAGCGAACAATTAAAGGCTAGGGACAGACATTACATATAAACTGGTTTAAGTGATCAGATACTGGTTTAAACCTGTAACAAAACAGACATTCAGTGCACATAAACCAGTTTGAAAATGGCTGAAACCGGTTTGAGATAAACCTGGTTGAATGTAGTATCACACTTAACTGATTTGACTCAAACCAGTTTATGCAATGTCTGTCCCAGACCCCTTGCTGGTTTGAGATAAACCAGACTCTCCCAGCATCCTGGCATGCTCTCTGGGCTGGGCGGGGCTCTCTGCTCCACAGCACAGTTGGCCTAAAGCTCGGCAGGGACTGCAAGCATCTGCCTGGCTTCTCCCTGCTAAGCAGGGATTATTCCCCCTGCCCCTCTGCCTTACATCTCTCAGAATTAGGTAGCAGACCACATGCTGGCCACAGTCTGTGCTGGCCCCCTCAGCTCAGCTCTGTGGAAGCAACGGGAGGGCTGCTTTAGCGCCTTAAGCTTCTAAGCTGAGCTATTGCAGGCATCTGCCTTTATTTTCTCAGTCCAGAGGAGATGTCTGTGTGATTATAAAGTGGTTCAGCCTAGCCAGGTTAGACTACCCTGCAAAGATTGAATCAATTCAGGCACAGCTTTTTGAATGTCTGTCCATAGCCAAAGTGAGCGTGCTTGAATTTAGGCTAAAACTGCACTTGGAGCACGTACCAGCATAGCAATGCTACTATAGTATACCAGTAAAGTGCTCTAATATAGATACAGCTATAGCAGAAAAGCTGGTGGGATATCTACCCATTCACCCCACAAGCAAACTAAACCACACAATTAAAAGCACAGTGTTGTTGGTCAAACTGTCTGTACAAGAGGTTTCTGCTAGCCCATGGGTGCGAGTCATGGTTCACACCCCTGATCAGTAAACCTACCCTGGATGTCTTGTGCTCTGTAGTTGTAGCCTTAGTTAGACTCTTTCTATGCATAGATGTGACTTTGCTATCCTAAAGGGAGGGAAGAAAGTAATTTGTAATATTTATGAAAAGAGCTTCATCATTTATGAAAAATCCTGTTATCTTCATTAATTTGTGATACAGAAAGACACTAAGACCTGTAAGAGCAGATGGCTAAATATAGAGATAGCCCAAGCTAGCTGTAAATGGACTAGCTCATCTATTGGAGTCCACATGGTGCAAGGCAGTGCTGTGCAGATCCCTGAGCTAGTTCCACATGTGCTACTTCTAGAAGCAGAAGCAGCACTGCACTGTGCTACGTCTGAGCTGGTAAATTCTGCTTGACAGCTAAGCAGATTAGCACAGCTGCCGCCCCATGCTAATGTGGCTCTGTTATTTCTACTTCCAGAGCTGTCTTGTGTATATCTGCACAGTATCCTGGTGCATGATGTGGGCGGATCTTTGATCTGTCTCAAACTCCTAGTCAGTGGGAACAGTGAGAAGCAAAAGACCACAGGGTTTTTTTCTGTCTGATTCCCCTGGAGTTGTTAAGTGTATTTCTTTTTTTCTTTACTCAGCTGTCTGATTTTTTCACATTCATGCTGGATCACTTTACTCAGCTCAACGAGACCGACACAGGTAAGGATAAACGTAAGAAAAATGTGAAAATTTAGCATGCTTCCACATTCTGTTGCACTTGCCGAAATTGCAGTTTGAAATTGTTGCAATGAAAACTTGACATTTTAAGTGTTTACATAGATGTGAAGATTTCAGATGTTCCAGATATCTGTTTCTGTTATTAAATACAAAGATAGCCCTCCAGATACATAGAGTGTTTTGTGACATGCTCTCTACCCTGCAAAAGTAGAAATCTTAACAGCCTTTCACATTTCTGGTAAAAGAGCTCCTGAAAGAGTTGTGGATTAAGCCAGTGATTCTCAAACTGGGAGCCTCGGCCTTCTGGGGTGCCTTGAGATCCTTTTAAGGGTGCCTCAGGGTGCTATGCAATTTTAGCATTGTTAGGTGTGCAAAAATGATTCAAAGACTGATTTCAAATAGGAATTCATAGTGTTAACAGCATTCTGACCCTCTGTGGTATTTTTTATGGGGTTTTTTGCAACAGAAGGTTGCTCTATTATTTTTCTGCAGTTAAAAATTGAGTGAAAACAAAGAGCTGACATTTTTTGAAGGGCATCTTGAGTCTATTGAGGGATGCCTTGAATCTAAAAACATTGGGCACCTATACACAAGCAGCGAGGCTGACCCGATGCACTGTAGTTACAACACATTGGAGCAGCCTCGCTGCTCATGTATAGGCGCCCAATGTTTTTAGATAGGCTTGTGTATAGGCGCCTAATGTTTTTAATTACAGCATGTCAGAGCAGGCTTGATTAATCAAGTCTGTTGGAGCATGGTAATTACTATACTACAGCAGACTCCATTGTCTCATGTATCAGCGTCCCTGCGTTTAAAAATGGCAGTGGGGGCACTTTAATTAAAGCTTTAGTTAAAGTGACCCTGCCACCATTTTTAAGTGCAGGGATGCTGATACACAAGACACTCCAGGCGTTTTAATTAGAGAGGCTCCAAGAACAATGTGATGCACCCTTAAAAGGATCTCAAGGCACCCCAGCAGAGAGCAGCTCTAATTATAGTGCCCCCTTTACCACGCCCCCAGAGCATGTGTATAAATACCCATTGAGAACCACTACATTAAGCAATCCTAGCCAGATGTAGAAAATCAAAGAGATTATCCCTTTAGGTTTCTCTGAAGTAGGGAAATCTGGACCCCTGTTTGAGTATAATTTATTCTAGACTTTTGCTGTGAAATTGCTGGGACCACTGTATGAGATGCAAAATAGCTGCTAAGTTGCTGTATTTTTTTTACATATTTCAAGCTACGTGGAGTTTTGAACTCTGAACAGAGGCGCAGCTTGTAATTGACTTTCTACTTTCAGAAAACAAACAACTTGTTTAGATGTCTGTGTAGAATCTCAACCTAGCTGTGTGAAGAAGAGGCAGGCCTCACCTCATCAAAGACTACAAAAGATCACTTTTCTTTCATCTGGTCATGCTACTGATTACTTTAGTTAAATGTGCACAAGACACTTTGATAGCATGATAAAACCACCATCAAAAACTTTAAGCGGTTCTATATTCTAATGACAGAAACTAGAAATTGGGAGTTGTTTTATCTCAAACTGGTTATAGTACATAATGGTCCTTTCTGAGAAGGAAGTTCATCTGAAGGCAGAGCTCAAAGTAGTCCTGCAGTTTATTTGTCTATATTGCGTATTATTATAGCAACCTGTAAACAATTTTCTTCCCTTGTGATTTCCAAGGAATGAAATGACTAGGTTGAAGAAAATCAAACACTGTTTGCATCCTCTGTTAGTTATCTATGCTATGATGGTATATTTCATTGCATATTTTGTATCAAGAATTTATAAAACAATGGATTAAATTGTCTGTTCAGGTTGTTACAAAATAGAAGTAACTATTTCTGAGCGGTGCCTCCTTACCAGTTCTGTGAACACTGGCCTACCCATCTGAAGGTTTTATAAGCACTTTAAATACCTACAGTGATGATGTGGCTTGTCTTATATGCCCATGCAGTGGAGAGAGGGAGTTCAAATTGTTCCTTATCTCCAGTGAGCAGGCTACCTACATTGTAGACACATTTTAGTTGTACTAGTGAACCACCTTTCCAGTTAATATAGAAACACAGTTTATGTTGAAGCTCTAGTTTCACATTTTTTTAATAATACTTTCTCCTTTTGGTTTGAAACTTTTGAGGATTGGTGTCTGCCCAGTTTTTTAAAATTGATAAAGGCCTCGTAGAGGCATTCAGTTTCTTCTGGGAGAGTCACTGTTCTCCCAGCAGAAACTACAAGTGTACAGATGTTCAGGCTTTTTCTCCCAAGGTAAAAATGGCCACTCCAAGAGAAAAATAACCTGGGAACAACCAGGTTTGAGTCACTTCCAGGAGGGTTTCTCCTGGGACAGCAAATGTCTGTATATGCCCCAAAAGTTCTGCTGTTTTTGTGGTAGGAGAAGCTGAAAATACACACATAAAAACAGGTCTGTAGGCAACAAAACCCCCAAGGATTGAAAATTAGTAGTTTGGCATGGAAATATTTTTCAGTGAGACAGCACAAAGCCTTATACATGAGGGGACTAGGTTAGATGTGTTTTAAATAATTCTAAATTGCATCTTCAATACGTTCCATAAAGTTTTCCTTAAGGTAGTCAAATCAGTACTTGGGCATAAGCTTTAATTTTAGGAGAGAGGTGGAAGCAGAGTAGGGCCCAGGCATGCAGGGCTTGATCTGACCCACAGGCTATCCCTGTGTTGTTCATCTGGCCCATGTAGCCAAATGCTTGAGCACCATTGATTTAGAGTAACAGCACCAGGGCTAAAAGGACCTAAATTGTGTCTTTTTTGGGCTGTTCTGGGACTCACAGTAAAGTATACACTGCATGGCTGTTCAGTAGTTCCACTTTTACTTATGGAAAGAAGATTAGGGAGATGCATGAAAGATTTATAGTCTAAATTTTCGTATTCTAAAACTGATTAAAAGAAAAAAACTTCACATCCCCTTCCAGTGTAAGGACTATTTGTTCTTTTAAAGCATGCTTACAAAATTAAAGATCACATCCCTTTAACAGAGTAGTTCTTATAATGTGTTTTTACCCATTGCTATTTCTGATCTCTTCATCTCTGTGTCAGTGTAGTTTCAGCATCATGACCAAGATGCTATATAGCTGCATAAGCTGTTCACTTAACACACTTTTTATTCTGGTGGCTAGCATTTATTTTCAAAGATGTTTGTGGGAGGCAGGTGTAAAAGATTTTTCAGCCAAAAAAAGGGCAAATGTTCTGCCTTTCAATCCCACTCCAGGGAAAGA